GAGGGTCCCTTGGGAATCCAGGAATCAAGACCCCCCCCACCCCCCCAACCCAGAGAGGGTGACCCCTCTGGGATCATGCAATGCCAGGATTCTGGCTTCTCCATCTAGTTCTCTCTCCTCTGCTCTTCCAGGATCTTTAACCCCTTAGTGACCCATGACACTTTCGCATCTGGTCTGTCCACTTTACCTCAACATCCTTGGTGAGATGGGCAAGGAATGTCCTACCATGCCCGTTACACAGCTGAGAAGACCAAGGCTTATGGGCCACCAGGTACTCCCTTCCCCCAGACACTGGAGGATTTGCTCGGGCTGAGGATAAATTCAGGGGCTGGCAGCTACCCCCCAGCCCTGCCCCATCAGGGAGGCCTACCGTGGTCTGTGCCCGCGCAGGACCCCCGGGAGTCTCTCAGGTGTTTTCCAGATCTTCAGTGGGATACCATGGACTTCAGGGCCAGGCCCCCTCTGCTTCCCTTCCCTGCTGAATCTTCTCTGGAGACAGCTCCTCACACTGCCCCCCACTTGACTTCCCGTCAAGTGCCGGGTGGCCCTGAGGCTCCCCCCACTTCCACCCCACCCCCTGGCTGAGGGTCTGGGTGCAACAGGGGCAGAGAACCGCAGGCTCCTGGCCAGACTGCACCTGACAGGTGGGGCAGGGTCTTCGGGGTGGCCGAGGAGTAAAGTGGGGGTGGGGAGGGGGCGACCCTGTGCCCAGCACCCCTACCCAGCGCTGCGTGGCAAGGCCGCTGGGACCTGAGTCACAACTGACTGGGCCGCACCCAGCCTGCCTGGGTGACCCAGGCCAGCATAAGGCGATGACTGAGCAGCCCTCCGCATGACCGGCCGGGGTCGGCCTTAGGTGTTTTGACTCAGACCTGCCACAAGCCGTGTGCACCAGGGCCATGCCCCTTGTCCTCGTACCCAGGAGAGTCACAGGGCCGCAGCCGCCCCCCCCCCCGACCGAGTGGCCCCCCAAGCCACCCCGCGCTGCCCTGGCACCCGCCTCAGAACCCTGGAGCTACCCGGCCCATCTGGTTGGCCCTCCTCCACAGGCTCCAGGGCCCCACCTGCCCAACCCACCTCCCTGGGAGACCTTCGCCCCTCCCCGCGCCAGGGAGCAGAGCCCAGCCCTTGGGGCGGCCCCAGGAAGCAGGGAGTGGGGCTGGCCAAGTGGAAGGCCTCCCCAGCGCTGACGCTGACGGTGGACTATGAGCATTGCCTCAGCATGGAAAAGGGGTTCTTTGTGCACCCTGGGTCCCAGGCCTGGTGTGGAGGAGAGGAGCGCAGGGGGACAGGGACAAAGAGAGAGAAGCTGTGAAGAAAACCAATAAGGAAGAGAAAAGGAGAGAGAGAAAATAAAGAGAACGTTGCTTGTACACCTGCTCAGGGACAGCTTATGATAACGTTGAAATAGCGCTGTGTGTGTGTGTGTGTGTGTGTGTGTGTTTGTGTGTGTCTGTTTTCTCCTGGGAAATCTTACAGCCAGGGAGGCGAGCCAAGTTAGCCCACTGGACAGAGGGGAAAGCTGAGGCTCGGCTTTGGAGGTCACACAGGTTTAACGGCAGGGTGGCTGGGGTTTGAACTCATTTTGCTTGACTCTCAAGTATTTTTCTCATCCCTTGAGAAAGGGGGAAAAGAATCACATTGATAGTGGTGGACAGTGAAGGTCATGGAGGCCAAAGACCCAACTCTGCTGTTTGCAAACCCTGAGTTTGTTTGGTGGGTAGATAGTGCTGAGCACCCCAACCCTGCCTTTTCCCAGCAGTTTCCCTGCCCTCTGGGCCCCCTGTCCTGGGGAACTTTCCATCCTTGTGTGTTAAATGCAGTTGACTGAGGGGCTGACTGTCACCTTGAAAAACTGGAAAAAGAAAACGAAAACCTGGCTTTGAGTTGATGCTTGCAGCAAGGCCAGGACCCTTTTATCTTCCTCAGTCTGTGCCAGCTCAGCTGGGGCACGGGGCCGCTTCGTCCCTTCACACAACCACCAGGGAGGAAGCATCCACTACCTGCCCACTCACAGGGTACCACCATTCCAGGGAAAACGCTGCCTCTGGGTCACAAAAACAATATTTGAGCCCCGCCCCACCACCTGTCACCGCAGATGGTTGTGGGAACCCCAGTCTCACCGGGGTGATCAGAGAAAGCTTATTCTGATTCTAGATGCTGACTCCAGAAATGATGCCCTGCAGGCAGGCACCTAAGCCCCTCTGGATGGGGGGATCGAAGAGGAGGGGGCATTTGAACTAAGGCTCAGGGTGGGAGGGTAGCAGGCTGGGGGTGGGAAAACGCAGGCTTCGGGGAGGTCAGGAGGCCTGGATGGGCTGGGGGGGCAGCAGAGCATGGATCGGACACAGACATGAGCTAGCAAAGCTGGCTGGGCATGAGAGCAGGGGCCTGGCATGTCACATACGATGAGGGCTTTGCAACTGGTGCACAGCAGGAGGACAGGAGGGAGTCCCTGAAGACTTGTGAGCAGAAGATACGGCAGCAGTGAGATTTTTGGCCGTGTCCAGGGAGCCAGGACTGAGCTGTCTGTCGGGAGAGAGGGAGGCATGTGCCTGAGGCAGGATGTGGGAGAAACCACGGGACATTGTGATCAATGGGGAAAGGAGAGGCTGAGAAAGAAGGTGAGGACTGGGGTTCTGGAACTTCTGTGGGGGCAAATAGGAAGCAGGAATCAGGTGTGGGGTGGGGGTGACCTTGTCCTTGAGGTATCCACAGGGCTCCCAGCTCCCAGTTCCTAGCAGTTGGGTCTGTAGGCTTGAGAGAGCGCCGGGCTGGAGCTGGTAGTTCAGGGGCACCTGCAGCCATGGTCTCTCAGGGCACAGCGTGGAGGTGACAAGTCCTCGGAGGTGGGACCCCTGAGACTCCCTCTCCAGATTCTGGAGCTCCCTGATCTGCTTCCTATGTGGGTAGGTGGGTGGTGGGTGCTGCTCCAGCTCAAAGCCAGACACCTCTCCTGGGGCTTATCCACAGAGTAGGGGGCTGGCAAGGGGCCCAGGCAGGGGTGGGGGGGCAGCCACCCCGGGCTTCCCAGTTCTTCCTCCACAGACCAACGTCTGCTCACTCCGTGGGCAACCTCACGCCCTGCCGCAGCCCCAGCTCCCCTTCCACTCTGAGAACCTGAGCGTGCCTGGCTTTCAGTGTCTGCTACCTCCCACCCACAGCTTCCCAGCAGCTCAGCCTCAGGAAAGCCCCCCACCCCCATGCTAGGGCAGGGCATGCTGCTCAGCTTTTTGACTCCCCCCAGGGCCCCACCTGCCCTGCTCCTTGATGAACGCCTCCTGGGTGCTGGGATGGAGCAGAGGGAAGCAGGTGACATCTCCATCTTGGCAGGTTCCAGGCCAGCGAGGGGAGGCAGATGGTAAAACATCACAGCGGGGGAGGGCCTGCCAATAAGACAGTTTCCAGATAACCAAGTTGCTGGACCCAGACCGTGGGTGATAGGGAAGAATAGCCGAGGATGAACTGATCAAAATGACAGGGAACAGGGTTACAGAGAGAGGGAACAACAGAGGCAGAGGCCTCATGGTAGGAGGGAGCCCTGGGCATATTGGGAGCCAAAAGGTGGCCTGTGTGGCCAGAGCCTTGAGAGCAGCGGAGAGCCCAGTGGGGGACAGTGGGAAGCTCTTACTAGGTACTTGGTAAATCACCTGGAACATACTGGGCACTGCCCGGGAAAACTGCTGGTTGCGAGTCTGCACTGGAGTTCCATCTGTGATCTTGAGTAAGACACTTTCCTTGTCTGGGCCTTTTTGATAAATCAGCGATGCCCCCCACTCACTATATGCTGATCCTTGAATGCTTGGAGACTTTGCCCTAGCCGTTCCCACCACCTGCAGGCCCCGCCCCTTCTCCTGTGCATCATTCCAGTTTCAGAGATGCCTCTTCCAGATGCCACCCTGACCACCCCTGTTGCTTGGGTCTCTCACTGTTACATCACCCTGCGTCAGTTTTTGCCGAACTCATGCTGCAATGTCCTGTTGGTTCTTCTGCGTGTCTGTTGCCTGTCTGCCCACTAGCCTGGGAACTCTGTGCCCTCAGGGACTCAATGACATTGTTGGCCAAGTTACAGAGGCTGAAGGGTAATAGAAGATGCTCCTGCCCTGGCATCTGAAGGACCTGAATTCAACACATGCCCACCATCCCTGTAAATTTGTTCTGAGGACGTGGGCAGGTCACTCAGTCTCCCTAAGACTCAGTCTTCTCATCTGCAAAGTGGATCATATCTATTACAGAGAGTCCCACATGAGGCTCTCCTCCACCCCTGATGTTAAGTCCTGTTCCCATCTTGGCCCCCAGTCCCAGGAGGTGGGGTGGCCAGGGACGGATCCAGGTCAAGTTCATCCACTTCTGTTAGCTCTTCCTTTGTAGCTGCTGCCTTAGCCTTCGTCGACATATATACGACGTCATGTTGTGTACAACTTTAGGGTTTGCATTTAATCCTCAAGGGTTCACCTTCTTTCACATCTGTTTATACTATATCCCTATTTACTAAGTGGGGAGGGGGCTCCTTTATATAGTGCTTCACTGTTAATACCTGTTCTGTTTTGGGGATGTTCTTTTCACGCATTAAGAAATTTCAAAATTAAAGAAAAGGTGGAGCTTCTGAGCATCAGGAGGGAGCCCAGTTTTCTGGTGGCCAGGTGGAATTCCTACCCCCTAGGGCCCCCCAGGAAGCAGGTTCAAGGACAGAGCAGGTCACAGGCCACATCTGAAGCAGGGTCTGTTAGTATCTTGTCTATTTCATGGAACCCACATCAGCATACAGACTCCCAGGCACACACCCACAGGGGACCACAGCTCCAGCCTTCCTCCCTCCCTTATTGCTCCTAAACCCCGACACCCCTAGCCCCTAGCATCTCAAGGAGTCACGTTCAGATGAGATAAATGCCCTGTCTGTGTTTGAGACACCCCACCAAGTCGGAGCCTCCATCTCTTCAAGAGGCCAGACTCCCCAAATCCTTTCCCACAAGGTAACAGAGAGACACAGGGGCTTTAGAAACCAGGCAAGTTTTAAATATATGTTGGCACAATATTAACATTAAATACACATCATAAATAAGCCTTATAAATAGGAAACAGATAAAAACTGATAAAAATCGATAAATTAGTCATATCCCTCCAAAGAATTGGCCCAGCCGCTTCTGCCCGCCCCCCAACCATTGTTTCAGCGTGAGGATATTTCATGATGCACCACCAGGGGGAGCAGCCAGCAGCCGGGACCCACGACTGAGCGCTTCCAGGCAATAGGTCTATAGAGAACTCAAGTCTTCTGGCCATGTCCGTTTGCACTGCATTCCGATAGCCACTCTATGTCACCGAATCCCAGCGACTGGCAAGCAGAGAGGGCTTTACACCAACCCCCTTGAATCACAAAGAGAAAACTGAGGTCCAGAGAGGTAAAGTGGCCTGAGGCCACACAGTGAGTTAGGGGTTGAGCTGGGACCTGAGCCCTGTTCTTAGCGTGCCCCCCCGCCCCCGACCCAGATCAGTGCTCCTTCTAGGACACTCTGCCTCTGTCACAGCTGCCTAAAGTGAGGTCACCCAGATGTCCAGGTGTCTGGCCTGAGACTGGCAATGAGGCATAGGAGGCCTGCTCAGGCCCTGACCTCCCCCTCGGAACCAAGCCACCATGGAAAGGAGGAAGTCTGGGGGCAACAGCCCCGCAAGTCATGAGAGGGAAGGGCCGGCAGGCCTCTGGGGAGCAGAGCAGGGGGGGCAGTCAGTCTGGCCATGAGTCAACCTGTGTCATCAGACCCCTGAATCAATGGAAAGTTGGCCCCACGTGGCCTGAGCCGGCCACCCCACCGAGATTGGGGAACTCAGGGCTGGGGGCTCAATGGCCTGACCCTACTGTCCCAGCCCAGAGGAGGTAGAGCGGCCTGCCTGGCTCCCACCCCTTAAAGTGCACTTCTGAGAGGTGGGGAACAGAAGGGAGCGGGGTTTGGAGGCCCCAGGGGAGATGCCATCCTACACAGTACCTGTGGATCCTTTATCTGCCAGGGCTGCCCCTAAGGCTACCGGGGCAGCTGCCCCCTGGGCAGGAGTCTCTTGTTCTTCCTGGAGAGTTGCATCCTGCTGGTCCCCTTCCGCAGGCCCTGGTGGGGGCTGTGTCTCCGGCTCCGACTTGGGCTCTCCCCCCACTCTCGGAAGACCTGCCCCACGGAGTGCATGAAGCGGTGATAGCCATGCAGGAATCTGCAGCCCTCTAGCCGGCGCTGAAAGGTGTCTGAGGTGGGGGTGGGCGACGGAGACGTCCCCGGGCCTGTCGGAGTGGGCTCCGTTGTCTCCGAGGAGCCTGGAAGCAGCTGGGCCATGCAGTGGATGTTGTTCTTGAATCCACGAATGTTCTGCTTCACCCTATTCAGCATCTCCAAGTCCTGGGCTCTGGGGATGTCCCGCCGCAAGGCAGTCAGTCTGTGCAGAACGTGGCCCAGCGTGGTGTCGAGGGTCCGCAGGAATTCCCACCTGCCGAGCCCCTGCAGGGCATCCTTGCTGGGGAAGGCCCCGGGGCGCTCCCGACAGTGCTCCTTCAGTCCATCCTTGTCCAGACCTTGGCTTTGGATCTGGAGGGAAAGGAGAATCAGGGGGTGAGCGCTAGAGCCCCCACTGTGCACGCGTGCATACACACACACACACACACACACACACAAGTCTGCTCTGGTCTGCCTTGAAATGCTGGACCTCATGCACCCCATCCAATCCTCCCGTTGTACAGATCAAGAAACTGAGGCCAGAGAGGGGTGAGGACTCCCCAGTGTCAGGGGACAGAAGGATGCTGGGGGGCTGGTTGGGGTGACTGCCCAGGTGGTGACTGTGGTGCGGGGAGTGTAACCGTGGGCTTCAGGAGGGCAGGTCTCTGTTTTGGTCACTGCTGTGTCTCTACACTACACCTGAGGGTTGAGACAAGCTGGGAAAGCTCTGTCGTCTCCTTAGTGTTTCAGAGTTAGGCCTGGAAAGTTCACTGAGGCCCTGGAATAACACAGGGACTTGGTTTCCCCACCGGCCCCATATGGAGTAGGAGTTGCATGAATGGGAGTTGGGCCTCATCCTCTCTGGGCTCACTCCTGCCCTAACCTAGTTCTCTGAGCCTCAGATGCCACCAAGGGCCAGGCACTCACATAGGGGTCCAGGAGCAGGCTGGTGCGCTGCATGATGTCCGCCTGCTTCTGGAGCTGCCCAAGCAGCTCTTGGTACTTGTCCAAACAGCTGCCCATGGCCGGCGTGCTCAGGAACAGGAGTCCGAGGACCAGACCTGGGGCGGAGAAGGGAGGGGGTGTCACCTGACTTGGGGAGGTCAGGGAGGCCACCCCCAAGGGCCTCAGAGGGCATAGCCCATCGTCTCAGGCTTCGTGCTGTCGAGGGTGGGGCTGGGCCCTGTGTATGCACTGCAGCACCTGCTGGGGCCACCACCACCTCCCCAGTGAGTCACTGCCCAGCATCCAGAATAGTGGCTGGGCTTCACCAAGCAGGCCCTTGAGAGGAGTTCCTGTGCCTGCCAATCTTGCCAACCTCAGGATCTGACACAGGGCAGCCCAGGTGGGGCTGCTCTCTGCAAGACCTCTGGGCCAAGACCCTGGGCTCCCCTGTCACAGACCCTGGCATTCTGTGCAGGTGGGCTCAGCCTGGGAGCAGCCTGGTGCCCGGAGTCATGCCTGCACAAGCCAGAGTGGCTGCCTTTCCCGCAGAAGGTTCTGTCTGCAAAGGATGTGTGGGATCATCTAGACCATAGCGCCATTCTACTGACAGGAAAATCAAGGCACTGAGGGAGAAGGGCTTGCCCAGGTCACACAAGGCCAGCACTGTCCTCGACCTCATGCACCTTCCTCTTCTCTCCATTAGTGGCCACTTCTATCATGCCCACCAGGGATGCTATGAGCCAGGCTGTTTGGGGTGGGGGGGGCATAGTTACTGCTTGGCAGCCTCCCCACACCTACCCCCCAGGCACCGGCAGCCATGTGGTCGGAAGGGGCCTGTGGCGCAATGGCCCGGAAGGCGGTGACACCATGTTCCCTTCCTAAGAACCGTTCAGCCCCTTGGGGAAGACGCTGCTGGGGACGGCTGAGGGGCTGGCCACCCAGGCACTGAGACCACAGGGCACTCCTCGCTACCTCCCCAGGTATCTGCAGCCGGGTTGGGCGGGGTGGGGGTGGGGTTCCATGTGAGCGCTGTGTGCACGTGGGACTAGGGTGTCTTCATTGGTGTGTGTCCAGGTCTGAGTGAGGCAGAGGAAAGAACTGGCTGCACACAATCGCTGTGCCCAGCCCACCCTGGGGGCCCAGGCTGCATGTGGGGGTTCCCAGGTTGGTGAGATTGAGGGCTCTGAATGACATCACGTGGCTCTGTGTGCATGTCACCCTGTGGGTGTGGCTATGCGTGCTGTGTGATTGTGTGGGCTCCAGGGTCCCCGGGCCTGGCGGACTGTGTCTCTCCATCCCAGACCCTGTGAATCAGGGTAAGAAGGAGGCCTCACCGCCCCTCCAGACATCACACTGCTTTCCTGCTCAGCTTCTGCAGCTTCCTCCTCTGCCCAGCACGGCACCCACCTCCCTCCTGCTTGCCTGGCTTCTCCCTCAATCTATCCCCTTTCCTTATTCTCTTGCTCCCGCAGTCGCCTCTATATCACCTCCCCTTAGAAGCCTTCCAGGGATACTCCTTCTCTATCCTGTGAAGATGCTGTGTTCTCAGTGGACCACTTTCTTTGCTGACCTCCCAGCTCTCTCCCCTTCTCAGCATCCTTTTGGTGCCTGGCCTTCCCAGCTCCCGAAGGACAGAAGGTGCCCCTGCTCCCCGCTGGTGCCCGTGGGCACAGCAAGCGGGTGCTGGTGGAGAGGAAGGAAGTACTTACTGGGCAGCGTCCTCTGCATAAGCTGTGCCCGCATGCTGGGTGCCCAAGCTCCGGCCGGCGCCTGCTAGGGGTGACACCTCCTGGCTGGGAGCCCTGCGGGCTGGCAGCCACTTTATGCCCGCCAGGGCGATTGGCCAACACCTCGTGAGGTGGGTGGGGAGGGGGGGGAAGGGCAGGCCTTCTGGGAACATGACCCCAAAAACCAAAGTTTCCATGGGCGGCCAATGGGCGCTGGGTGCGGTGGCAAACTGCTCCTCCTCCTGTTTTCTTCGAATTCGTTCTTCGAGGTCAGCCCCACGCCCAAGGATGATGCAAACCGCAGCCTCAGCCTTCCTGGGGTGAGCAGGGAGCAAGGGGGTCCACGCCATCTGCAGGGAGCCGTGCCCAGGATAGAGGGGAGAGTGTGCCAACTGGGTCCTTGGAGGGCCCGCAGGCCAGGCTCGGCCCAGGAGCCATCGGCCTCACAAGCCACTGTGGTTTGGGGCTGAGGGGAGCAAGACATCTTCCTTCTTGAGTGCCCTTCCTGCCCTCCTGCCAGGGCTGTTGGGACATCTGTGAGCGGAAACCACCAGGCTCTGGGCACAGAGCCAGACCCAGGCTGGCAGCCCCGAGATTGTGGTTCTGGCCCCAGGACCTGCATCCCCCACTGGGGCTCCCAGCCATCTCCTTTCTCCCATCATGCCCCCCGCCCCCCAGCAATCAGCCTTCCTTATCCCAGGCCCATAGCCTGCAGCCAGGCCCTTTCTTTACAGAAATTAGGGTTCAAGCCTGCTGACATGCTGTGTGACCAGAGGAAAGTCACTTAACGTCTCTGGGCCTCAGCGGCCCCACCTGTAAAATGAGGATTCGAAAAGCATTTCCTGGGCCAGGCTCGTAGTGCTGCTGCTATCATGGACATAAAAGGCAAAAGTCCTTTGAAGGGAAAAAGAAAGACGAAAGTCTAATTCCAAGTACTAGCTGTTGAGGGGTAGTTTGGGGGCAGAGGAGATGGGGAAGCTGTGAGCTCAGAGGGGAAGCCAGGGTGGGGGAGTCGCCGTGGTGACGGTTGGGGACCAGGTTTCACTTTCTCTGAAAGATAGTGATTGTGGTTGGTCCTCTGCTCCTCGCAGACCTCTGGACGTCAGAGTGAAGGAGCTCCGGAGACCACGCCTCTCTAGTCAACCTGTTACTCTGCTTCGGGTAAAGTGAGGCCTGGGCTAGGGCAGACAGGGAGGCGGAGAGGCCGCCCCGGCATATCTACCAGGCCTGGAAGAGGGTCCTTGGCCAGCCTCAGGAGCCCGGTGGGGAGGAGAGCCTCAGGAGCCCAGGGAACCAGGGTGAGACCCCTGGAAGCTTCCAGCTGGGGAAAGCATTGGGCCTGTGGAGTCTAGACAGGAGAGCTGAGGGAGGGTCAGACACCCTCCTATCCATCCCTGTCCCCGACACCCATCCTGACCACCAGGGCTGTTCCCACCTGCTCTCTCCTCTGCAGACACGTTCACCATTACTCATTTATTTGTTCAATGAACTTTTATTTGGCCCTACTCTGAGCCAGCCACTCCCAAGTGCTGAGGATCCCGTAGTGGGCAAAGCCAGACCCCCCCCACCCATGCCCAGGAGGCTGTTCCTCGCCTCCCACCCACTCCCTGGCACCCCAGCATGGCGCTCACCACACCCGCCTTTGCCACCCCCGAGGGCCAGTTCTGGATTCTCCTCCTGAGAACGTCGCTTCTGCTCAATTCCTCATCTCTGTGCCCACCCCCGCAAGACCATTTTCTGGGGCCCATGCCAAGCTGGGATCCTTCTTCATTTCACAGCCCTGATCTCATCATGCAACAGCGCTGAAAGGGAGAGCTCCCGGGCAGGGATGCTTTGGCTCCCTTTCATGAGGCAACTGAGAAGCTCAGGGCCGGGCTCTGGGCTGGAGAGCTACGACTGGCAGGAGAGCTTCTTGCCCCTCTCAGCTACTGCGGACCACCCTCCACACTTGGGGGGATGCTACGCGCCTTTGCTTTCCCCTGCATCGCCCTGGGTGGGAACAGTTAAGACAAGGGGGCATCCAAACCCGGGCTGTCGAGTCTGAAAGACCACATTTGGAGGGCGGTGTGCAGGCCCCAGGGCCAAGGGCCACCAACGGCAAAGAGGACTTATATATTCATCTACTCGGGCTGCCATAACAACATAGCACAGACAGGAGGACTGAAACAACAGAAATGTATGTTCCCACCATTCTGGAGCTAGAAGTCTGAGACCAAAGGGTCAGCAGGGCCGATATCATCCTGCAGCCTCTCTTCTTGGCTCGTAGATGGCTGCCTTCTTGCTGTCTCCTCACATGGTTGTCCCCCTGTCTGTGTGTCTGTCCTAATCTCCTCTTCTTAGAAGGACACCAGTCATATTGGATTAGGCCTCATTGTACCTCACCTCTTTGAGGGGGACCCTATCTCCAAATGCAGCCACATTCTGAGGTACTGTGGGGGTAGGTCTTCAACACAAGAATTTAAGGGATAAAATTCCGCCCATAACAGCTTGCAAGAGGAGGGCATGCTTGGAGGGCAGCAGGGAGTGAGGACCATGGGGGAGTGTCCAGAGCTCGGTGGGAGGGGACAGTGATGTGCCCGAGGACAGGGAGTGGCCCCAAGGTGAGGAGACCCGTCTGGCCAACCGAGCAAAGCATGAGGGGAAGATGCGTCAGCGTTTCTGGTGAGGTCAGCGCCCAGTGACGTCCCTCTCGCCAGCAGGAAGGGCTTGCAACACCGCCCAGCCAGTATAAATAGGCTCCCCGACCACAGGCCCGGGCTGTCCCCTCTTCCTGGGGCCACGTCAGCTGGGTCCACGTGATTCGGAGGGGGAAAGAGGACTGGCTTGGTTCCTCAGAACTACTGTTCCCCTGTCTTTCTGGCCCACCCTCCGCCTGTGGGGCTCTACTGCTTTAAATGCAAGAACAGGACCTGGGGTGGCCTGGGAGTGGGTCAGAATTGGAGGAAGGAGGCCACTCATCTGGGAAGACAGACAGTGACCCTTGACCTGCTAAGGTGGGAGGTAGACACCAACTCAGTTACCAGTCTCAATCTGCTTATGAGCCTAGTGTTCTTGGCCCATCGCATCCCTTTTCTCAGCCTCAGTTTCCCCTGTGGACTGCAGTGGCACAATTTAACAATCAAGAGACAAACAACCCAAATTTAAAATGGGCAAAGGAGTGGGCAGCTGGGTGGCTCAGTCGGTTGGGCATCCAGCTCTCGGTTTCGGCTCAGGTTGTGATCTCAGGGCAGTGAGATCGAGCTCCGTGCTCAGCGGGGCGTCTGTTGGAGATTCTCTCTCTCTCCCTCTGCCCTGCACCCCGCCTCACACATGCGCTCTCTCTCTCTCAAATAAATAAATAAATCTTAAAAAAACAAAACAAAACAGGGGCACCTGGGTGGTGCAGTCGGTTAAGCTTTTCCAACTTTTGGTTTTGGCTCAGGTCATGATCTCAGAATCCTGAGACCGAGCCCCATGTCGGGCTCCGTGCTCAGCTCGGAGTCCCCTTATGTTTCTCCCTCCCTCTCCCTCTGCCCCTCCACACCCCCCTTCACGCTCTCTCGTGGTGTGCTCTCTCTCTCTCTCAAAAATAAATAAATCTTTAAAAACATAATGAAAATAAAAATGGGCAAAGGAGAAACAAATAGATATTTCTTCAAAACAGACAAATGCCTAATAAATACATAAAAAGCTGCTCAACATCGTTAGCCATCAGGAAAATGCAAACTCAAAACCACAATGAGGTACCTCTTCATACCCCCTGGGGTGGCTATCATCGAAGACAGGCAATAAGAAGTGCTGGTGAGGACAGGGGAGAATCAGAACTCTCACACACTGCTGGTGGGAAAGCAAGATGGTGCAGCCACTTTGAAGACAGTCTGGCAGGCCCCCCAACACTTAAACATAGAGATGCCATACCTGCGGCTATTCCATGCCAACATGTACACCCCAGAGAATTGAAAACATATGTTCACACAAGAACTTGCACACAAATATTTACAGCAGCATTTATTCACAATAGCCAAAAAGCGGAAGCAACCCAAATGTCCATCAACAGAAAATGGATTTTAAAAATGTGGTCTATCCATACAATGGCATCTTATTCAGCCCCAGAAAGGAATGAGGTCCTGATACATGCTACAATGTGGATGAACCTCAAAGACATGATGCTAAGCGAAAGAAACCAGTCACAAAAGGCCGCGTGTTGTACGATTCCATTTGTATGAAATGTCCAGAATAGGTAAATTCATAGAGACAGAAAGCAGACGAGTGTTTGCTAGGCCTGGAGGGGTCTCAGGACAGGGAGTGATAGCTAATGGGGATGGGGTTTCTTTTGGGGTGATGAAAGTGTTTTTGAATTAAATAGTGGGGATGGTTGCACAATCTTCTGAATATACTAAAACCCACTGAATTCACTTAAAATGAGAAATTTGATAATATATATTTTGTATCTCTATTTTTAAAAATGCAGCGGCAAATGCTACCTCAAGAGGACGGTGAGTGTAGTTCGGTGAATAATGCATGCAAATGCCTGGCCCACAGCTAGTCCTCCAGAAATACCCGCCAGCCAGCCAGTCACCGGGACAGACAAAGGCGCACATTTGCTTATGTCATAGCCTGGGTTTGAGAACGATTGGGAAAGATGATGTTACATAAACCCTGGGGTGAGCAAGGATCTACCAGGGCCCTCCCCATGAGGCCAGTGAGGTCACCCTGGGCTGGAGGATCCTTTGGCTAAGACCTGCTACAGAGTTCCTCTGGGACCTGGTGTGTCCATAGTGTGGGAAGCCATGTCCCCCGTGTGCCCAGTGGCTCCCCCAAATTGGGTAATTGAGCCGCCTTCCAGAGGCCTGAACACCTATTCAGGGAACTGCAACAGAGAGAGAGGGAGAGAAGGAGCTACCTTCTGTTCTCTTACTGTCTTCGACGGCAGAGGGGTTGGGGGGGATGCGTCCACTCTGAGGTGGGAAGACCAGGAGATACGAGTGCTGCCCTGCTATCCTCTCTCTGATTGGCCTAGAACAACCGTCCCCCCTCACCACCCTTTCTGAGCCCAGATTCCTCTGTGTGAGATGAGGGGACATGAGAGATGAACACAGAGGGCCTAGAACCCTACAGAGCCCCATGGGGTCCCTTAGTGGCTCTAAGCACTGAGAGGTCACTGTAAATAAAAACAACCTTAACCATTAAACAAGGATCAGGAAGCCCAATGGAGTCCTGACTTTTCTCATGATGACAACATATAATGCCTATTTTGAAACATCATATTCTTGCCAAAAATGTTCAGGTGCCCCAGACATATGTTGTTTGCCCACTGCTAAATAATCAGACATGTTTCTGGAGCTCTTCTGTGTGCCGAGACCAGTTCTGAGCATTTACTAAAGGCTAGCTCTGTGAATTCTCCCAACCATCCTCACAGAGATCATTGTCTCCATCCTGTAGATGGGGAAACTGAGGCCTGAGAGATGGGGCACTTGGCAGGAGGTCACATAGCTGGGAGGGAGCAAAGGCAAGTTTGAGCCCAGGCAGCTGTCCTCGGCCCATGTAGCTGGCCAGCGCACCACACACACAGTGGCTTGCCCAGAACTGACGCAGCCCACATGGCTCAGCAAACTGGAAAACATATGGCTTTCACAGTGGGAAGACGGAGATCCACTTGGTCAAGGGCCAGCCAGGGAGTGATTGGAGGAGGAGGCTGGTATTTCTACAGGTCTGGAAAGAAAATGCCAGTTTAATTGGCAGAAATGCAGGAAAGAGATGCTACAAATTCCATGTGGAGGGAACTGCATGAGGTGCCGAGCAAGCAAGACTGCATAGATCTAGTTTGTTTGTTTGTTTATTAAGATCTTATTTATTTGAGAGAGAGTGAGAGAGATCACAGAGGGAGAGGGAGAAGCAGACTCCTTGCTGAGCAGGGAGCCCGATGCAGGGCTCGATCCCAGGACCCTGGGATCATGACCGGAGCTCAAGGCAGATGCTTAACCAACTGAGCCACCCAGGCGCCCTGGTCTAGTTTAGAGAAAAGAAGGTGTGGCTGGAAGTCTAATGGAGAGGGAGGGAGGAAATGGGGCCACCCACAAAATGGCTTTACTGCCACAGCAGCCCCCTTGGGGGGCTTGTACAACACAGCCTGATGCTACCCTCTTGCTTAAAACAGTTCCCTGGCTTCACATTGACGTTGAGTAAGGCCAAGGTCATTACCACAGCCACCAGGCCCTGCCCATCTCCCCAGCCTCACCCACACCTCTCTATCCCACCCCCTTCTCTGACCTTCCTCAGTCCCTCGGGGAAACAGAGCTCTCACCCCATGGCCTTTGCATCTGCTATTCCCATGCCTGAATCTCCTCCTACTGAATGAACTTGTCACCCAGTCCAAGCTTCACCTCTTCAGGGGAGCCCTCCCTGAACTTCCTCCACCCCAGGCTGGTCCTTGCTCCCCCTCTAAATTCCAAGAGGGTATCCGCTGTAGTTGTGGCTCCCCACGGCCTCTCCAGAGCACAGCACAGGCCATGTAATATAGTGGGTGCTCAATAAATCCTTAGTGACTGGATGAATGCACGGCCATACAGATGTGGCCATCTGTAGAAGCCCCAGGAAAGGTCAGCCGTGGCTTCCAGGCTGCAGGGCCCAGATGTGTGCCTCCCACATCCAGTGTACCTGCAGCCAGGCTCCTGAAAGTGCAGGCCCACCTTGCTGCTGGCAGGAACGGGCTCTCTTGGAGCCTTTCCCATGCCTTCTCTTGGTCACCTTTCCCCAAGGAAATCAGAATTATATCACTCACAATACACCAAAGCACGTGATCTCTTTTTTTAGGAAGCCTTGATTTTAAAGACGCTGACTTTTTCCTTTATGATATTTTTTTAAAGTGAATTCAAAATATATTCTTTCACCCACTGCAGATTTCAACACTTTCCTGGAAAACAAGCTGAAAAAGAAAAAGACAAGGCATTTCTCCTACTTCCTTTATTCACTTCAGAGTGAATTCCACATAAGCAGCACCTGACAGCCTCATAGAAAGAAGCCTTCACTGGAGGGGACAATCCCGCATTTTGCAAAAACAGACAAAGCATGGTGGCTTTTCCTCATTCAACCTATATTTAAGTAATTCACTGTATGTGTCAGGCACCAGGATCAGCAAGAAAGACTAGGCTTTTAGGTAAGTGAAATTGCTGTGAATGCCTTTTTATATCCAGGTCTTAAAGGGTGAATAAACACACAAGCCAACATCGAGCATGTGGAGGGATCTGGAAACCCACCGTTTGTCAGCCTGCTCATTTCTCACCCCAGGCCATAGGAGGGAGCACCCAACCCAGCCTGGCCTTTATAGTACCCTGGAGTCTAGCACTGCACCTGCATCCTGAGCAGAACCAATCAGAATCCTTCCCCAAGACTGATGCCAGACTCAGGAGACAGGCCTCCCTTACACGGCCAAGGTTTCAGAGCTGGGATGTCACCAGTCTGGAGCTGGGAAAAGTCACTTTCCCCAGCTCCATGGGGTGGGGTGCGGTCCTATCAAGTGGGTGAGAACGTGGCCGGCACAGCCAGAGAGGCCAAGCAACCTCCCTGAGCCCCTGGTCTCTGCCTGAAGCCAGGACTAACCCCACAGCTAGTCCCAGCTATATAGGACAATGATGTCAGCCTATTTTCTGCTAGTTGAGCTGGTTTCCTGGCACTTGCAGTGGGGAGTCCTTTGAGCTGCACCAGTATGAGGATGGAAGCAGGAGGGGTGGAGGGGATAGAGGGAGGAAGTGGGATGGGCTTGGAGCCTTCTCTTGGTGCCAACTGCTGCAAAAGCTCAGACACTTTGCTCAACAGAGAAAGCAACTGGAGAAAAGATGGAGGGAACCAGCCAGGGTCCCCCATGGGGCTGTCTACAAATGATAGCCCTGGTCCCAAAGGGAAGTCCGGGACGCACAGGTGGGACTCACTAGCAGGGATGCCTGGAGGAAATGACCTGGGACAGGTGCTGTGAAAGACCTGCCTTCTTCCCCTTCTTTTTCTTGGGAAGATGCCAAGGAAACTCTGGGTGTTTATCTTGATAAGAAAAAAAGAAACACGGGGCGCCTGGGTGGCTCAGTCGTTAAGCGTCTGCCTTCTGCTTGGGTCATGATCCCAGGGTCCTGGGATTGAGCCCCGTGTTGGGCTCCCTGCTCAGCAGGAGGCCTGCTTCTCCCTCTCCCATTCCCCCTGCTTGTGT